ATTATCATAAGAATTTGGGAAGAAGTTTGTTGCACGTATCACATTATCACATCCATGCCTTGTAAAAATTCAAAAAAATGTTTCTGAGCAACTGACAAGTAACACTGTTTCAGCGCAGATTATCCTCGCACTTTTAACTTTGAACCCTGGCTAACGAGCTCGTGCAGGGCTGTTTGAATACATGCAATTCGTGCGTGTATTAGAAAACATAGCATTCTGCAGTTTCTTTACGAATTGTTTAAGGCCATTTCACGATTTCAATCATCATACAGTAACCACCAGCAACAACCACCCTTCTCTTCTCATCGGAGACATGCGATGCAGCACTAAACAGTCGCTCGCTGTCGGTGCTTGTAATGATTTTTGTGTTTTTCTCGGAGAGTTTTAAATGCTTCCCCACTGCAGACATGTCTGCTGCATTAGCGCGCACCTCTATTTGGTCACGCCATTGTTTGGTACAATTTATTCGTTTTTTTTTTTTTCTGCTTATTCGGCCGAACACCGAAAGAGGAATTATTATATTAATTTAAAACAGGGTTATATGTGTGGATGGGAGAAACAGCAGACAAGCTTTTTGAAAATCCAAATTGATTTTCTGCCAGTAGGAGGCGCTTTGTCAGAAATATAACGGTTTCCCTAGTAATGGCTGTAAACAAAGCAGCGCTGCGCTCATGAACGCTCCCATCAGATAAAGTTGAAATGCAATCGAAACTTTTCTGAAGATACTCAGTTCATTTCAGAGTCAACCCTGTTACCATCAACCCAGTTTGCCACAATTCTATCCCAGCAAGTGTTAATATATATTAATTTAGCTTAAGATAACAATATGCAAACATGTATCAACATTAAAGACGTTGTCTGTCTGACATAATATTTAAAATCATACAGAAATCTTCAAAATTACATTATTAGAATGGAAAAGATCCATTAAATTACAAACTAACTGCCACCTATCAATCTCACTGCCTTTTACCTTCCACTGATGCCTTAAGCCTGGTGCACACTGTATAATTTTGCCGTCTGAGACAAATTTCTGGGATCGTAGAGGATTTCTATTGTCGTAGGGCACAATCGTGAGTCTTTGATGGTGACATGTTCACCAATAACAATGCTCTTTGTGGTGAATCTTAACCTTCGGTGGTCGTTTTGTTTTTACGTGACGCTCGTAATGGTAGACTTTTTCAAGCTTCAAGTATTTAATTTTCTAATAGTTATGGTTTATTCCTTCAAGTATTATTATTATTTTTTATTTACACAGAAAGATATTACTCTAAAAAATTTGGATTAAATCACTGGATTCATATGGACTTCATTTACAATGCCATAATGGCCTTTTTGGAGCTTGAAAGTTTTGATTACCTATCATTGGCTAGACAGAAATCTTCAGATTTTATTAACTTAATTTGTGCCTGAAGACAAATGAAAGTCTTACAGGTTTGGAACGATGTGAGGGTGCATAACAGCCCTATGCTTGAACCTCAATTAATATGTTAATGTTGCTGTGCAAGGTTTTTAATTAGTATAAGATGAATCACATTGCATTTTGGGGACCTGATTATCGCTCTCAGATGCTTCGGGGGTGTCATTTTGTTTTTACGTGACGCTCGTAATGGTAGACTTTTTCAAGCTTCAAGTATTTAATTTTCTAAATAGTTATGGTTTATTCCTTCAAGTATTATTATTATTTTTTATTTACACAGAAAGATATTACTATATTAGATATTAAATCACTGGATTCATATGGACTTCATTTACAATGCCATAATGGCCTTTTTGGAGCTTGAAAGTTTTGATTACCTATCATTGGCTAGACAGAAATCTTCAGATTTTATTAACTTAATTTGTGCCTGAAGACAAATGAAAGTCTTACAGGTTTGGAACGATGTGAGGGTGAGTGAATGATGATAGAATTTTTGGGTGAACTAATCCTGATTAGCAGAACATATATTCTGTTTAAAGGGATAGTTCAACTAAAAATGAAAATTCTGTCATTAATTTCTCACCCTCACGTCATTCCAAACCCGTAAGACCTTTGTTCATCTTCAGAATACAAATTAAGATGTTTTTGATGAAATCTGAGAGCTTTCCGACTCTGCATAGACCGCAACACAACTGAAATGTGCAAGGCCCAGAAAGGTAGTAAGGACATCGTTAAAATAGTCCATGTGACATCAGTGGATTAACCGTATTGTTATTCCTCTGCTTCTAAACAAGACATAGCGTATCTGCTTTCTACGTCAGTACCCCAGCTCCTGCATCAGCAGCACCTCACGCATGCGTCAAGATACTCTCGTGAACGTGCGTCAAAGACTGACATGGAAGAGAATAAATTGTTGAATAAAGTCATTATTTTAGTTTTCTTCTTTGTGTGTGTGTGTGTGTGTGTTGCTGTACCTAAGAAAATTTCTCACCCGTTGTAAAATCACTGTAACGCATGGATGTGAGTGTTTTTTTTTTTCTTTACTAAAACACACACTCATACACATGTGTGGCGTCTCTTCTATCCATCCTTCTCTCTTTCTCCCTCCCCCATTCCTCTGTCTGTTTTTTGTCCACTGCTATTATTTCCGTCTCAGTAATCTGTTGAGGTACATTTATTTTTGCGAGCGAGTTATTGAATCATAACTGTGATTTTAAAAGAGTAATTAAAGTTAAATGTGGCCCTGATGAGCTACTCCTTCAGGAAATGTTGTGATATTAAATTATGTATGACTAGAGGGTCTCTGTACCATATGTAAATCATTTAGATATGCAAATGGCCCACTAAATCTCATAGATTATGAATAAAAATGTACTATTCCCATGTTTAGCTCTGGGCTTTTAATCACAGAATTACTTTTCTTTTTGTTCATGCCTGAAGTCATATTAATCACATGCTAGAAACACTGTAAAGAATAAGACACCTTTAGTTTAAAAGACAAAACCAGTGTAATACCACAGTTTTTTGTATTTTGAATGCTGACACTGACACTACCCTGACATCGCAAACTGCACTGACAATATAGTCTACACAGATATGTGAAAACAGAGTTCAAATGTTAAAACAGCTTATGAGCTCAAATGTATTGCCTTCTCAGTGCCACCACAAGGGAAGCCGGCACTGTTTTTCTGTCGTTAAAATGAAAATGAATTATTTTAACTTGAACGCTACATTTTTAGAATGCCATGTCATGCGCAAGACACTGCAAAAGATGCTAACGCAATTAATATAGTGAGTGTTTACATAGAAAACAATGGATATTGTGCAAATAGCGCAATAGAATGCAAAAATGTGTTCTGTGTGAACGCCCCTAAAGGGCCACATTTACCGTCGCTATGCAATATTTCACAGGCAAAACAAAGCAGGAAAGGAGGTGACAAAATACCATTATAATACTGAAATGTAGTGTTACAGTAGAAACCAACACAATGAGCTTTGCTTTTTTGCTAAGTTACGAATCTTTGTCAGTCAAACGTCACTGCGGAATCAAGAGGCTTGCTATTGGTCGGCCTGCAAATATGTGTCAAAGTTGTGAAATTCACATGTATGCTCACAGGTGTGTGTTCATTTGCATTTTACACTAACTTCGAATGCAGTTCATCCTCGCTTTAACTCAAAGTTTATGTTAAATGGCCTAATGGTTAGAGAGTCGGACTTGTAATCCGAAGGTCGCGGGTTCGAGTCTCAGGTCCGGCAAGGATTGTCGGTGGGGGGAGTGAATGACCAGTGATCTTTTCCACCTTCAATACCACGACTGAGGTGAGACCCTTGAGCAAGGCACCGGACCCCCAACTGCTCCGTGTGTGTGTGTGTGTGCACTTGGATGGGTTAATTGCAGAGCACAAATTCCAAGTATGGGTCACCATAATTGGCCACAAATCGTACAATGTACAAAAATACAAATCGTGATGAAATTGTACAAAAGTGGATTGAAAGATCAACATTTCAGAGTCAGAACTACTTTAAAAGTGCAGACCTCATACAAACTAAATTGACATAAACCTTTGGAGAAAAAAAGGGGAATTAGGTTGATTATATTTTTGTTCACATTAACCTTAAGCAATAGTGATATTTTACTAACAAACAGCAATAATAAATGTTAGAATGTTAGTTATAGTAATACTCAACTTTATTATAGTTATAAAGAATGTGAGTTTGAGAAAGTGAAATCCCTTGTTTCCGCTATATTCTCCAGCGATTGCTCATCTGCCATTTATCTCACATTTCCTGTAGTGTCTGGATGTCCATCATAACATCAGGAGGCTCCACATAATGGGACACAGAGAGATGAGCACTTGAGTGGCATCATACAAGCTACACAAGCACAGACTTATCTGCCATTTTCCCTAATGTTAGTCAAGGTTTTTACACCAAAAACTGTCATAATTATCATATACGTTTCATGACTATTTTCCACCCTGACCCTTATAATCAATCAGACCATTTGGTAACACTTTATTTCGATAGTCCACTTTAGACATTCTATTAACAGTAAGTAACTTTGCAACTACATGTCAACTAGCAGTTAGTAGAGTATTAGTAGACTGTCTGCTTAATATCTTCTAACACTTTCTTTGTCAAATTCTACTAACCCTAAACCTACCCTAACAGTCTACTCTGAGAGTTAGTAGACATGTAGTTGCAAATTAATGAGAATTAGTTGACATGTAGTTGACATGTAGTTGACATGTAGTTACAAAGTTACTTATAGTTAATAGAATGTCTAAAGTGGACTATCGAAATAAAGTGTAACCGACCATTTTTGCTCTTGTCCTATCAAAATGTAAATGCAAATTAGGGTTGTCATATGTTAATGAGCTCATGGTTGTGATGTCATAACCACAAGTATTCCTGAATGAGTCGTTTTTACAGTTTAATTTCAATAGACAGGCTGATTCCTGAAGGTTCGTTTTTTACATAGTACCTCTATGTGATTTACAAAAGAGCCTTTTGAAATATTACTAATATTGATACAATACTATTGCATTTTGAGTTAACTGTCTTTTTATGTGTTGTACAGAGTGATGAACAGGAGGGACCTGAGGAAGACACTCGGAGCGTCGCCGCATCTTCAGTTATGGTATTTCAATCGATCAATCGATCAATGGTATCTAATTATTTATGTGGTATTTTGAGGTTTAATTACTCCAGTGGTAGAAATGATGTAAAATTGCTATTATTATTTTTATGTACTTTATGTACGAGTTAGGCGGCAATGCATTTATTTATTTATTAGTTTAGCAGACACTGTTATCCAAAGTAACATAAAATTAAAAAAAAAAAACATTACAAACAGTATATACAAAATCATCAAATGTGGTTATGTTACATTGTATTACATCATGCTGTATTGTATATGACACAGCAGGAACCGCTAGTACCATAAATCAATAAACCATACCACACAGTGTTTTGGGAAGAGGACTGAGCTCTATTTCAGGCTTTTTTCTCAAAGCATTTCCTTGTAGAGTATACAAACAGTCTTCTCCCAGAACAGCATGCAGGCGGTTGAAGGACAGCCCCCTCAGTGAACGCTTGCATTTTTTAATTATCGTGGAGGTGACACCTCTTCCCCGAGCATCTCTCGCCTGAGCTGTAAACAGGGCTGTGAACTTTACCGTCAGCCGCGCGACCCTGAGTATCATTGATGAAGGGAAAAGCTCATTAATACACACCCAGCGAGAGACAACACAACACGGCCAGCTGAGAAACCCTCAACATGCACATATAGCTCATTTCTGAAGCATCTTTACAGCATTTCAGAAAGATGCTGTTTCATTTTAGTGAGCCTTATAGTCTCACAGATATGTCCGATTCATTTCTGTACTGTTTTTTCCACTTTTGTGATGTTATTAATGTGTTGGTTACAGAAAGCATTTGAGTGTTTACACTTCAACACAAGCTTACAGTGACCTGGATGTGTCAAGCTTTAAAAGCCAATCACAAAAGCATCATAAAAGCTATATAAAATTAGCTTATATGGCTTGTGTGCTATATTATGCATTTTCTGAGGCCATACTGTAATGTGGGGTTTGGGTTTTGTTTTTGTTTCATGTTCATGTCCATGTCTTTTATTTTGTAATTGTTTCCTGATGTTAGTGTCATGCTTCCCTTGCCTCATGTCTCTCTGCCTTGTGTATGTGTCATGTTCTGATTGGTTGTTTTAGTCATGTGTCTTGTTTCCCATTGGTTTGTTCTTGTCATGTGACCCTCTTGTCTGCTATAAGTTGCCCTCATGTTGCCATTGTCTCTCGTCGTGTATTGAATGTATTTATCCCGCTGTTGGTGAGTCTAGTCTGTTCATGTCAAGTCTGTTCATGCCTCGTCAAGTCAAGTCTGTTCATGTCAAGTCAAGTCTCGGATTATTGTTTGGATGTTTGGATCACACTGTAAATAAACTGCACTTGGGTTCTTCACTACTCTCGCCTTCAGTGGATGATTCGTTACACATACGATAGCCTTGTGTGAGAAACAGACCAAAATCTATTCATATTTTGCTGAAGACATAGCGAATTTGCTAATAGCATAGCTCTCAAATCTCACACCTGCGTTTGCACGTATTCAAAACCTCAAATTTGCCACTTTTAGAAAGTTTGTGTATGATTTGAAGTCAGTGGTCATTGGCTGTTTGTGACGTTCAGGTCTTCCTGGAACGTCTGTATTTATGAGTTGAGAAGTCGTAATTTCGATGTCATGCTTGTTCTAAATGACGTTTTTACATCTTTATTTCATTTACAAAGGTGTAGATTGAATTGTTGTATATTATATTCTAATTACACAATACTAACAAATTTTGAACATGGAAATGCCAATTTCTGTCATGAAACTCTAGATGGCGCAGGCTGATGGGTCCTTAATAATTGAGACTGATGATATTCACAGTTTCATGTTGCATACGCAGCCAATGAGCTTGCTGCTTTACATTTAAATGGCTAGTTAGCGTTCACTTGAGCATTTTGCAGCGCACTTTCAGAGTTCCTCTGAAACCCTCCACCTTCCCCAGCTCCACCTGTATACAGTAGATCTCCTACGGGTTATTATATATGCTAATTGTGCAGCAGCAGTATATCTTAAATACTCACAGCAGCGAATCGGAGTATGTATTTGCAGTAGTAAGTTCCTGTACTTTCGACAGCAATAACCAATAACAGCAGCAGCGTAGCAGATCTATTCCACCAAGACCAAATACATTAACATTGCCATATCCATTACCATACTAAAATCTTCCGAGAGTCATTTTAGAACGTCTCGGTTACGTACGTAATCCTCGTTCCCTGATGGAGGGAACGGAGACGTTATGTCGTGATGACATTATGGGGGTTCACTTGGGAGCCCCGACCATCTCTGACTTTAAGAGAAAACGCCAATGAAATTTGGCTAGTGGATTTTGCATACCTGAGCCACTCCCTGTGCAAGTCACAATCCCATGACGTAGCCAATGTTGGCAAGCGGCCGCGTGACCGACAAACGCTACGCAAAGGTCGTAACCTTCCCACCGCCCCAGCGCAAATTCGCTGACCTTGGTACCCGCAGGGACCACAGGTGAACACATCGCTGCTGGAGATAGCCAAGCCGATGTTCCTTTCCCCACAGAAATTTCTTAACAAAAGATTTGCTTCAAGTCTTTCCGATTTGTTGTTACAGCTTAGGCAGAACGATGGGGAAGCGAGCCTTCTGGAAAAAGGCGCTACAGAGACCACACCCTACCTGTAGGGAGGTAACGTGTGGGGATTCTCATATGGACTGACCCAGGCCTGTGGCAGTACTACATATGGAATAGGTCTCTGGGGCAGGTCCTACCTGAGAGTAGGGATGGAGCAACTGCCAACAGAGACTGACAGAACACTTTGTCAAAGGGAAGACACGGGTTTACAGAGAGGGAAACCTTACCGTGGAAGAATAAACATATGGGATTGCCCACAGGAAATCAAGCCATATGGACACCTAGCCCAGTACAGGGGCTGACCGGAGACCCGTGCAAGCTAACACCGATACTGGGCCTGGCATCAGACTGCTCCGCCCAGTCTGACTGCCGGGGGTGCTGGAGGATACTCAACCAGGGTTCGCCGTCCAGGGAACTTACTGGAGGAGGAGAAAGGCACTCGCATCCCCGGGTGAGGGGGAATGGCGCAGCAAGCGTGATACCGGCCAGCTCTTCCCGCCGATTACCTGTTACTCAACACAGGGGAAGAAACTGGCTCAACGCGGAGACTGTAGAGTCTCGCGAAGGTGTTCGGTGTCACCCAGCCCGCAGCTCTACAGATGTCTCCCCGAGAGGCGCCAGCGCATAGGAGGAGGCAACACTTTTTGTGGAGTGAGCCCTCACCCCCAGGGGGCACGGCTCGCCTTGGGATTGGTATGCCAAGGCGATGGCATCCACTATCCAGTGGGCCAACCTCTGCTTGGAGACAGCCTTCCGTTTCTGCTGACCTCCGTAGCAGACAAAGAGCTGCTCAGAGCTTCTAAAGCTCCGGGTGTGGTCCATGTATATGCGCAGTGCTCTTACAGGACACTGCAACGCAGGGGTTGGATCTGCCTCCTCCGAGGGCAGTGCTTGCAGGTTCACCACCTGATCTCGGAAGGGAGTGGTGGGAACCTTGGGCACTTATCCAGGCCGGGGTTTCAGGACAACGTGAGAGTAGGACGGCCTGAACACAAGGCACTCTTCGCTCACCGAAAATGCTTGGAGGTCCCCGACCCTCTTGATGAAAGTGAGTGCGGTCAGGAGCGCTGTCTTAGTAGACAGGAATTTAAGCTCAACATTCGCGAACAGACTCCATTTCAGAACATAGGCTTGCCTCGTAGAGAGAGCTCTATCCTGAGTGATCGTGTTAACCACCGCAGGTGACAGATCAGCTAGGTCTGCCGCGTCCCGTCCAGAAGCCACATGTAGAAGTTCCAAAGGTCTGGATGCGGGTGCCAAATGGTGCCGAGCCCCTGAGAGAGCAGGTCCTGTCTCAGGGGGATGCGCCAGGCAGGGGCTGTCGCGAGGAGCATGAGTTTCGGAGACCAGGTCCTGGTGGGCCAGAAAGGCGCAACCAGTAAGACCTGCTCCTCGTCCTCCCTGACCTTGCACAGTGTCTGTGCGAGAAGGCTCACTGGGGGAAATGCATACTTGCGAAGAGACCGAGGCCAGCTGTGTGCCACTGCGTCCGTGGGGGGCCTCGGTCAGGGAGTATTACAACTGGCAGTGGGAGGACTAGCGGGAAGCAAACAGGTCCACCTGGGCTTCCCCGAATCGACTCTAGATCAGCTGGATCGTCTCGGGATGGACTCACCATTCTCCAGGGAACGTGAGCTGTCGTGAGAGCGCATCGGCTGCACGATTGAGCTCCCCCGGGATGTGGACGGCGCGCATGTCGTTGTCATGGCACTTGTCCTAAGGGCACCCCGGCCCGTAGAAAAGCAAGGTCCGACCAGGGGCTGAATAGGCGGTGACACGTTGGTGTGATGGTGACATGATGTGTACCGCGGCGTCATGCCCACCTCGGGACTCGGGAGTTTAGTCAGTGCTGAAGTGGTCTCATATGGAGCAATCCGAGCGGCGTGGCTGCGGATGCCATATGCCCCAGGAGCCTCTGAAAGTGTTTCAGTGGTACCACCGTCCTGCCTCTGAAGGAACTCAGGCAGTTCAGCACTGACTGGGCACGCTCGTTGGTGAGTCGCGCCGTCATACTCACCGAGTCTAACTCCACACCGAGAAAAGAGATTCTCTGCACAGGAGAGAGCTTGCTCTTTTCCCAGTTGACCCGAAGCCCCAACTGGCTGAGGTGCCGGAGCACCAGGTCCCTGTGATCGCACAACTGTTCTCGCGACTGGGCCATAATGAGCCAGTCGTCGATATAGTTGAGGATCCTGATGCCCACTGCCCGTAACGGGGCAAGGGCGCCCTCCGCAACCTTCGTAAAGACGCGGGGGGGACAGGGACAGCCCGAAGGGGAGGACGCTGTACTGCCATGCCCGACCCTCGAACGCAAACCGTAGGAACGGCCTGTGTCGAGGGAGAATCGAGACATGAAAGTAAGCATCCTTCAGGTCGACTGCTGCAAACCAATCCTGGGGCTGGATGCATCTGATGAT